ATTCAAGGGCAGGACAGCGGTCCCACTGAAACAATTTCAGAGGCTCCTGGGGCATATGGCAGCTGCAGCGGCAGTTACACCGCTGGGGCTGCTTCATATGAGACCGCTTCAGCACTGGCTTCATGGCCGAGTACCGAGGTGGGCATGGCAGCGTGACACTCACCGGGTCCAAGTTACACCGGCCTGTCGCCAAATCTTCACCCCGTGGTCAGACCTTGCGTTTCTCCTGGCAGGAGTTCCCCTGGAGCAGGTCTCCAGGCTGCACTGGCATATCAATTGCCTAGAGTTGTTAGCAGTGTGCCTTGCCTTGAACCGTCTGAAAGGGCGCTTACGAGACAAGCACGTGCTGGTCTGGACAACGGACAACACCGACGAGCTGTCACGAGCTACGCTCCCAGGAGAATGGAGACTCCATTCCCAGACGGTCCAGCTGATTTGGAGGCATTTCGGAGCTGCTCAGGTAGACCTGTTTGCCTCTCCAGAAACCTCTCACTGCCAGCAGTGTGCCTTGCCTTGAACCGTCTGAAAGGGCGCTTACGAGACAAGCACGTGCTGGTCTGGACAACAAACAACACGGCGACTGTTGCGTACATCAACCGACAAGGTGGTCTGCGCTCCTGTCGCATGTCGCAACTCGCCCGCCACCTCCTCCTTTGGAGTCGGAAGGTTCTGGGGTCACTTCGTGCCATTCACATATCGGGTCTGCTCAACCGTACGGCCGACGAGCTGTCACGAGCTACGCTCCCAGGAGAATGGAGACTCCATTCCCAGACGGTCCAGCTGATTTGGAGACGTTTCGGAGCCGCTCAGGTAGACCTGTTTGCTTCTCCAGAAACCTCTCACTGCCAGTTGTTCTACTCCCTGACCGAGGGAACACTCGGCACGGACGCACTGGCACACAGCCTGCGCAAGTATGCGTTTCCCCCAGTAAGCCTTCTCGCACAGATGCTGTGCAAGGTCAGGGAGGACGAGGAGCAGGTCCGGTTGGTGGCACACTATTGGCCTACCCGGACCTGGTTCCCAGAACTGAGGCTCCTCGCGACAGCCCCTCCTTGGCCGATTCCTCTGAGGAAGGATCTACTGACTCAGAGACGGGGCACCCTTTGGCACCCGCGTCCAGACCTCTGGAAACTTCATGTCTGGTCCCTGGACGGGACGCAGAGGTTCTAGGTGACCTACCCCAACAGGTAGTTGACACCATCACTTTGGCGAGAGCACTATCTACGAGACATGCTTACGCCTTGAAGTGGAACCTGTTCTCGAGTGGTGTTCTTCTCGCCGAGAAGACCCCCAAATATGCCCGATCAGAGTCGTGCTGTCCTTTTTGCAGCAAGGGTTGGAGCGAAGGCTGTCTCCCTCCACCCTCAAAGTCTATGAGAAGGTTAAATCCTCCCCGGCCCCCCTCTATACCCTCTTGGGACTTATCTCTAGTGCTCAAAGCACTACAGCAGGGCCCATTTGAGCCTTTGCAGTCAGTCGATCTAGAGTTTCTTTCAATGTAGAGGCCTAAGTGGTTCCCATATGTGTAAAGTCCACGGTATAGCCTCAGAGCCCGTGTTTCCCCGGCAGACTTCTGCCATTTCCAAGAGGGTTATAATCACCTCTAATCTTCAATATGCAGTTGTTCATGTGTGTAAGTGCTTCCGAAACCTCCTTCGAGAAGGATGGGGCTTCCGCAATGTTCCTGTTCCAAGTGGAACGGGTACGTTTTCCCAGTGTTATCCAATCTCACTGAGTGGGTAGTGCTACGACAACAGTGACGGGTCTTCTTGTTGCGAGCCCCGGCCTACACCAAAAAGAAGGGGCGCAGGAGGCTACTACAGGACACTGGAAGGGGCAGTATCTGTGGCCCTTTGGTAGTGATCCCAATTCGTCGGTCTTTTCCCAGTGTTATCCAATCTCACTGAGTGGGTAGTGCTACGACAACAGTGACTGGTCTTCTTGTTGCGAGCCCCGGCCTACACCAAAAAGGGGTGCAGGAGGCTCGCACAGGACACTGGAAGGGGCAGCATCCATGGCGCTTTGATAGGGATCCCAATTCATCAGTCACCGACGTGACGTCGAGAGTGACTGACTGAAAGGGAACGTCTCGGTTACGTATGTAACCCGGAGACGTCACGTTCCGTCGCCACGGCTGCTGTACCACCGCTGAGTGGCCGGGTCACCGGCTCGGCTCCTCAGCGAAAAACTGGTATGCTTTGCACCGGCTGCCTTTTTATGCTCACGCTGTGATCAGCGGCAGCTGGATGCAATCATCGCATGCCAATGTGTATTGGCTCGGTTAGTTTACACTTGAAGTGGATTGGTCTCTCTAAGCGAGATCCCAATTTGTCGGTCACCGTGACGTCTCCGTTCCCTCCTTCAGGGAATGAGGATTACATACATAACCGAGACGTTATCTTTATAGTTATCATTCTTTGTGTGAACAGGCCTTTAGAGTTTAGTTCAAAAGGTTAACTAAGAAAGAGGCTTTAATTTATTGTATTTGATTCTGTCATTTATTGGGTGTTTTATGTTATGGTATGATTAGTTATGTTATGCTGCCGTTATTTATAATTTTATTTAATGTGTGATTGTACAGCACATTGTTAAACGTTATGCTGTTTTAATTGTGCTTTATAAACAAACAGAAACAGAAACAGCCATTGATGAAATACTAAATGTTACTTGTTATTTGATATTACTCAAAGGCCTACTATTATTTTAACTTAAAAACTCAAGTTTAAATACTTATTTTGAGTCGTCAGTTCTTAATGTGGATGTGCACATTACTCAGAAATATTAAGTCAGTGAAAGCAGCCAAGTTTGGAAAACTCTGAGCAACTTTACTAGATTTTTTTCAGGCAATAGGTTTGCAAGATTTTTTTGGTGAACTACACCTAATGTCACGATTATGGACTTTTGTTGTGTTTCTTTCATTTCCTGTTCTCCTGTTTAGTTTTGTTCCTCGACCTAGGCTGTGTCCGAAATCGCCCCCTATACCCTCATTCACTATTCCCTACATTAGGTCACTAATTCAGTTCACTAGAAGGAGTGAATGAAAACGAGTAGTGAATTCGGACCGGAAGGAATGCCGCTTTTGCATAGTTTGTGCTTGCTGTTTATTAATCATTTGAAACTAGCAAACTAGCAGCTCCAGTAGTAAGATTAAAGGATTTATCTTGAACTCTGTCACGGAAATTATGTATAAACCCTAATCAAACAATTTAATAATCAATTTACAATGAATTTATACCCGTGTTGTACATTATGCTGTACGCCATGGATGAGCGCTTTGTAAAAATGAACGGATTGATTATTCAGCTGCGGGCGCCATCTTCTGGCGAGATGCGCGAATTCATTCGGCGCGTGACTCTCACGGTGCATTATGGGCAATTTGGGCATTCTCTAGCCGTTGAGCGTGCACCAGTTGTACACTCGTTTTTGCAGTGCATTGTGGGATTGAATGAGTGCACTCGAGAACGTCCACTATGGTTTCGGACACCACTAAAAATGGCTGTTCCCTCAAATAGTGCCCTATTTAAGGGTATAGGGGGTGATTTCGGACACAGCCCTAGTTTTCCTTAGTTCCCCTGATTAGTTCATTCTGTTCACCTGTGTCCTGTTAATTAAGTCATTAGGTCCTCTCTTATGTTTGTATAAATACTCCTTGTTTAGTTCTCTCAGCTGCTGGTTATTAGTTGTGAATGCTGCTTGTGTTTTGTATGAATCTTCATCATCTTGAATTACTATTAAATGTTATTTTGGATTACCTTTGTCTTTGTGCGCCTTCCTTCAACAAGACCGTGACACCTAATATTCCCCTTTTTATATTTTGTAAAAAAAACAATATGTAACTATATACAATATAACTAAATAATACATGTATATATTTATTTATAATAATACATATATATATAACTAAATATGTGTAGTAATATGTGTAGTATAAATTACTACACTATAAATTACTACATTAGTATAAATTACTGTTAATTTAGGCTAATTTGTATAATTAGGAAATTGACTTTAAAAAGTATAGTATAAAATGTTGTGGAAGGTATAACTTAAGGTAAGGTGAAATAAAAGGAATTCAGAAAGTGAAAAAAAACCACGACATCTGTCATATTAAGTAAGTTGGATAAACACTTTATGACCTTTTCACAATGTTTTTGTAATGTAAGACGAAGAGACTTACATTTACACTGAAAATGATTTATACTGAGAATCTCATGCATATCCATAACATAAAATTAATTGCACATACATTCAAACCTTAAAGAATAAGTCTTTAATGTATTAGAATTTCATAAGTGTGTGTGCATGTCGACTTTATATGTATCACAGGTTTTAAGGGTGTATACATGCATTGAGTTTGGTCATTCTATTAAGACTTAACATGTTTTTCCCTTTCTTGCTAATTTGGAGCAGAAACGAGGGAAGCAGGGCCCTGACCAAGACTCTGCCCAGAACCGCTTTCGAGTGGCTTAAAGTCGAGTTCTTCCACAGGGATCCCAAATGCTCGCAGCTTTGCTACAGAAGTCTTCAGTAGGTCATTATGGGCCTGTGGATGGAAATAGACAGCTACACTTAATCACGACAGGCTGTCGTCAATACATATTGTATGATATTTTTAAAATCACATGCTATTTTTAATCTAATAACAATAAATGTTTTATTTGGTAGTGTGCCTGTGTCACATGACCAACTTTTAGTCACATTTCAGTGAAGATTAATTTAAGTTTTCATTTCAATCCATTCACGGAAACAAATAAGCACTCTTGTCATGCTATTCTAACATTATATTCTTTACTTATCTTGTCTTATCTTGTTTCAGCTCAGTTCACACATTAACATTGATTTTAAGACTGTGAATATATGCATAATGTTTTATGTGTATATATGTGTGCCAAGTTTATGTATGTTTCAACATTTTAAAAGTGTATGTATGTGTAAGGTGTTGTCTAAGTGGTCTGCTTTTTACATTGGTGTGTGTATAATGTTATTTAATATGTACTGTTTGAGCATTCCATACTATACATGTATGTGTGATTACTTCACATTTGTGTATTCCAGTGCTTCATGTATTTATGTGCAAATAAATTTTGATTTAACCCTTTATGGAACCTTATACAGAACAGTTTCTTACCTTGCAAACTCGTGCCACTTCATACTGTAAGTCTCTGATAGTATGGTTTTTGGACTCCAAAACTTCCTAGACAAAAATAAAACACAATTGTATAGACACATTAACAAACACTTCTGTAAAACTGACTTTTATATTTCTAAATCATATATTATTGTGGAGGCCCTCTGCAAATGCTTGTATGTAAATATGTACGTACAAAAATGTACCTCTAGTTTATGGGTGACCATGTTGAGGGTGTTGGGGTCCAGGTTGGAAGCAGACAGCACCTCACTGAGCTGCGCTTCCTTCTTCTTCAGTGTGTCACTGAGTGCACTCAGTTTGCACTCCAGTAGCAGGTTTTTAAAGCCACTTTTCTGCTGTACCTCCTGGATGGCTTTAGTGAACTTCATGTACAGCTCATCTCGCTCCAACTGAACCTACACAACAAAGTGTCTTCAGTTATTACATATGCAGAGCAGTCCTAATGGATCAATATGAACACACAAAAAATCTGAGAGATAACTGTTATCCAATATAATAATGTAGAAACATACAATACATTTTTTTTAAATTATCTGTGTACACAGAACAGAGATTTGTATCATGTCATAGCAGACATGTTATCAAGATGAAGATAAAACAATTATTTCTACTAAGCTTTCTACTAAGACCATTACTACTAGTTCAGTGTGTTATAAAGGTCTGATGCTGTTCCTCCAGTCACCTTAGTAAATCTCTGTTCCAACACTTCATGCACCCACTTAAGCTCCTTCATTTCTCTCTCAGATATTTTGAGACGAGCTCTTGTTCTCTGACAGCAAAAGAAAGAACAAGAATTCCATACATTACTAAGATTTATTAAAACTATTGTTATAGTTATAGTTTAACACTATCACAGTCCAGTGTCTACTGTGTCTACAGACTGCTACTTTAGACCCTGAACATACAGCTAGAGCACTCCTGTCCTTATCATAGTTGGCGAGCCGTTTCTGGAGTTCTGCGACTTCCTCTTTGGCCTTTTGTGGAGACGCTCTAAGTTCCTTATTCTCCTCAAGCACTTCAGCCATCTCTTTATTTCTCTTCTCCTCCTTCCTTTTCATCTCCTTTAACTCTT